AGAGTTCGCTCACGAGTATTCTAATCAGATATACGACCTGTTGAAGAAACGGTACGCTGAGCTCTGCAATGGAACAGAAATGAAGAGCACAAGAAGCTGGTATCTGCCTCATTTCGCTGTATCGAATATTAACAAGCCCGGAAAACAGCGATTGGTATTCGACGCGGCGGCGAAAAGTTACGGCGTGAGCCTCAACGACCATCTGCTAGAAGGTCCAGACATGTTGCTGTCTCTTCCCGGCATTCTATTCAGGTTCCGGGAGAATTTTCAGAAAAAGTTACGGTCGCCGTAACTGCAGACATAAAAGAGATGTTTTTGCAAATAAAAATAAGAGAAGAAGACCAGCCAGCACAGCAATTTTTGTGGCGAGCCGACGATCGCACCGGACCACCTCGTCACTTCAAGATGAAAAGTATGATTTTTGGAGCTACAAGTTCTCCATATATGGCGCATTTTGTGCGCAACCACAACGCCGAGCAGCACGCAAAGGAGCATCCATTGGCATTCGACGCAATCACTCGCAACCACTATATGGATGATTACGTGGCGAGTTACAAGGATGACGTCACTGCCAGGACTGCTATTGAACAAACCAGGAAGGTTCACGCGGCGGCAGGATTCGTTCTGCGACAATGGAACTCAAACGCAAAAGAAGCATTGAGAGACGTACCGGCAGAACTACAGGCCACCTCTCCCGCAACACTGGGGGGAGAGAAGGTGGAGAATAAGATACTAGGACTGATGTGGAACGCCAGTACGGATGAACTTGGATTCAATACCTCCATGAACAGAGTACCGGCGGAAGTAAGAAGCCAAAGACGGGCTCCTACAAAGAGAGAAGCGCTCAGTGCGGTGATGTCAATATACGACCCGCTGGGACAACTTAGCCATTACACTATAAGGGCGAAAATAGTGTTGCAAAGTCTGTGGAGACTGAAGATAGCGTGGGACGAAGAGATTCCCGAACTAGAACAAGAACTCTTCGCCTCGTGGTTGTCACAGCTGAAGCATTTGTCAAGTTTGCAACTGCAAAGAAATGGAACTCCATGTATTATGCGACGCAGGCGAGCAAGCCTACGCGACTGTGGCTTACCTCCGAGTAAAGAAACAAGAGGGACATACGAAGATCGTATTGGTGGCAGCGAAAGCAAGAGTGGCACCACGACGCACTCAAACAATTCCAAGACTGGAACTACAGGCAGCAGTGATTGGAGCAAGACTCGCTGATCACATCAAGAAGGAACATCGCATAGAGATTGGCAGAACAGTGTATTGGACAGACTCTTCTACAGTCATACACTGGATACGTCACGATGAGAAAAGATACACACCATTCGTGGCACATAGACTCGGCGAGATACTGGAACTCACAGACAGAGAAGAATGGCGATGGCTACCCACGAAAGAAAACGTGGCTGATGACGCGACTCGCATGTCCAACGAGCCAATTGTAGAGAAAAGCCGTTGGTTCCGAGGTCCAATATTTCTCTACGAACCCGAGAAACAATGGCCCACAGGGAAAGAGGAAGAGGGAGGAGTGGAACATGAAGTATTTCACGTCACCGAAGAAAGAGAAAAGGATGACTGGATACCGGACCCAACTCGTTTCTCTAAATATGAAACACTAGTGCGAACTACGGCAAGAATTTTAGCCTTCATTGACATATGCCGACGAAAGGCCACAAGATTGGAATATGAACACATAAAGCGAGCAGAAGAGGAGCTCGTGAAGAAATCACAAAGAGAGAGTTTCGCAGAAGACATATACAAAATCAAGACGGGTCGTCCGATTACAAGAGGAAGTCGTCTTTTCCAACTGGATCCTGTGTTGGAAGACGGGGTGCTGAGAGTGCGAGGTCGAATCCAAGCAGCCACCGTACCCGAAGAGGCGAAGAAACCCATCATCATGGACGGTCGACACCAGATAACCAGGATGATAGTGATGCGCGAACATTGTGCGGCAGGTCACGCTAATAGAGAACGCGTGACAAACGATCTACGACAGAAATATTGGGTGATTCACCTGCGACCCACAGTAAGGCTGATAGAGAGAAAATGCACGTTCTGCGCGAACCGCAAGGCGACGCCGAAAACACCAGTGATGGGAGACTTGCCCCGAGCACGAGTGGACCCATTTCAACGTCCATTCTCCAACTGCGGGGTGGATTATTTTGGGCCCATGATGGTAAAGATTGGACGACGCAGAGAAAAGAGGTGGGGCGCTCTATTTACGTGCCTGACATTACGCGCCGTACACATAGAGCTGGTGTCATCATTGTCCACAGATTCTGCACTGATGGCACTTAGAAGAATGGCCGCCAGAAGGGGATGGCCCAAAATGATGTATTCAGATAACGCGACCAACTTCCGAGGGGCAGACCACGAGCTAAAAGCTGCATATAAAGAGTGGGCTCCTGCGTTGGAAGAGGAGGGACGTTTGCACAGAATGGAGTGGCGATTCATACCGCCTGGGGCGCCAAACCAAGTGCCTGGGAGCGCTTGGTGCGGTCGGCAAAAAACGCACTGAGCGCAACAATGAAAGAGAAGGCTCCGGCAGAAGAGATCCTCTTAACTCTTTTGACCGAAGCAGAGTTCTCCATAAACGCGAGACCATTGACGCATGTGAGCGTGAGCGTCGACGATCCAGAGGCGCTCACACCCAACCATTTCCTATTGGGGTCTTCGACGGGCCTGCCATCGACAGGGCCTTGTGACGAAGCAGATAGAAGAATGTGGCGAGCCAGTCAAGGGCTCGCAGACCATTTCTGGAGAAAACGGGTGCGAGAGTACCTGCCAACCTTAGTTCCACGCGGCGAGACCAGAGGGGACCTCCAGCCGGTGCAGATTGGCGACATCGTGGTGGTGGTCGACCACACTCTGCCCCGCAACGTTTGGCCAATGGGTGTCGTGGAGAAGACCTACGAGGGCGCCGACGGTGGAATCCGGGTGGCGGAGGTGAGAACGAAGACGGGCATCTTCAAGCGTCCCGTGAGCAAACTTGCCGTCCTACGTGTAGAAGAAGAGGCTACGCAAGCTGCGCCGGGGGGAGGATGTTGAGGACAGCACGTTGATTTATAATATACTATATAGTTTAAGTAAAATATGTAAATTAAAAGAATTATTACGAAGTATTTTCATTCCCCATAAATTAAGAGTAGAAATTATAATAAAGATAGGTAGAAGTAAGCCAAAGATTAAATGATTTTGAAAGGGGTAAAACATTATTTTCCCTAAAAACAAGAATGTTAGGTACTACCGGAGAATGCTCGGGCTATACCGTAAAGAGGCCCCCGGTAGTACCGGCGAATACTCGGGCTATACCTTAAAGAAAGCCGCTTATGCAAAAATTAGGATAATTGTTAATTTAATATTGTAATAATGTATATTTAGGCATAAGATATGATAAACTCATTATTGTAAGACTGAGCATCGAAAACTGAAAGAGAAACAGACGAAAAACGAAAACCTTATATAGTTCGTAAGTAGTTCCCTGAGAGAAAGTAAGGGACAGAGCATGAAATAGGAAAGAGAGGGCAATAGTCTTGAGATAAAAGATAGGCCATTTGCATAAATTAGATAAGGAAGAAAAAAGTCAATTGTCTTATTGGAAAATCAATCAAAATAGAAAGTCTAATTGGATAATCGATAAATTTAATAACTATATAAGGCGTCAGTTTTTGATGGTCAGGGTCAGTCAACCATCGACGGATGTACCCAGCAAGAAAAAGGAAAAAGGAATAAATAATTGAAAACGTCGAAGAGTAATCATTCATACAGTCCACTACACACCGGTTCCAAAATTGGGAGACCTTCCTGAGAAGAACCGGCGAAACAAACTCAAGAGAGGCTTTCTATCTCCTTCTTATGTTAAATTATGCAAACAAAAAGAACTAATAGTATCTGATGGTCTTGCAGTGTGTGCTCGGGGTTGGGATTTTATCTCCTGTATAATAGGTTCCCAAGCTGGTGGTATATACCAACCATCTTCCCTATTGAAATTTGGATCAAATCTAATGTAGTGGTTTGGTCCCCCTAATGCATGTTCAAAGGGGGACCAAACCACTACATTAGATTTGATAGACCACAGATCCTTGCAGCTGAGCGGCGGTTCGTTCCTCGAATGATGCGCGAGGCTATTGAGATTAAAAAATATCCAAATTTCAATAGGGAAGATGGTTGGTATATACCACCAGCTTGGGAACCTATTATACAGGAGATAAAATCCCAACCCCGAGCACACACTGCAAGACCATCAGATACTATTAGTTCTTTTTGTTTGCATAATTTAACATAAGAAGGAGATAGAAAGCCTCTCTTGAGTTTGTTTCGCCGGTTCTTCTCAGGAAGGTCTCCCAATTTTGGAACCGGTGGTAGTTTACGGTAGTTAGGGTCAAATAAATAAACTCAAAATTACAAACAAGAATTATAAATAAAATACTTTATTAAGTAAATTAAATAATAAATTCATACATAGACAATAAAATTTTAAAAATCTTCCAATGAAATAACCGAACGCTCAATATAAGTCTTTCGAAGGTAGCTCGACAATTTTAAATAAAAAATCATTATTCTGACGATGCAGACCTGAAAAGGCTGCGAAACGTCAATAAATAAATAAAGTTTCGTGCATTAACCCGTAAAAACTAGTTTTATATAAATATATGTAATTATTCCTACCAGTGCGGATCATTAGGGATATAGGGAAAAGAAAGTTCCATACATCTAGGGTTACTTCCTACTTCTTCTTACGACTCCTACGACTTCTTCCGATCGGTTTAAAATTGACAGTTTCATACAAACTTTCATTCCCTATTTTATCCCCTTGGGGGTAGAATTGATCAAAATCCTTTCTTAGCGGATGCCTACGTCATAACATCTACCTGCATGCCAAATTTCAGCCCGATCCGTCCAGTGGTTTGGGCTGTCCGTTATTAGCTCACTATGTCAGTCAGTCACCTTTGAGTTTTATCTATATAGATGTCAAATACCCTATTTTTTAGACGTGTGGCAAGCGGTGTCGCAACAACATACAGATGCAGGAACACAAGCGTGCTCGGCACGGCCTCGGACGGATACACAAGTGTGCCTACTGCGAGTACAGCTCGGCCACCAAGGAAGCCCTGACGGTGAGTGCTTTTTTTAAGAAGAATAGATCAGAAATAGGGATTATGACTAATTTGTTTTCTTCCTTTATCAGGTAGATTATCAAAAAGTATTGGACACGTATTTTATCTTTTTTCACATTACATAAACATTGCAGAGATATATTGATTTGAAAAGTCGCATGACGTCACGTTTGAGTACACTTATAAGGGAAAATTCACTCAAAAGTGACGTCACGAGCCCCTACTCCCAAACTTTGATGCGCTATAACTTTGTCATTTTTTGGTTGATTACCCAAAGAAAAAATACGTGTCCATTATTTTTTGATCATCTAACTGACGGACTAAATAGAATTTCGTTTATTGTACCCCGTCATCACCCCTATTGAATGCATTTAACTAACAAATTTGCATGCGATCCAGGCAGCAGACTGGACTCAAACCAGCTCCCTCCGTTATCCGGGTGGATGGACTGAATTTTCTCTAGTGTAGTCTCTAGAAATGTATTTCTTCTTTCAAATGTTAAATTTGTAAAGGTATTCATTTGACATTGTGATTTATCTACAAAGAGAAGAGATGGCGCTGCCTTGCACAATTGGGGCCACGGTAGCATTATGGTCAGTGCGGGTTCAAGTCCGCTGTCTGCTGGCTGGTCCGTGTGGAATTTTTTCTAGTAAAAATCCTTATATTTGAGCATCTAGAAGTTAAATGCTTAAACAATAAAAATATTAACCTAACCTAACACACTTGTGCTGTGTTCGTACCACATATTTTGCAATTCTAGAATGTATGTATATTTGTCAGTTTAACACCTTTGCTAGGTTCCATTAAGTTATATAACCTTTGTATTTCATCTGTATTTTTGACACGAATCATAATTTGCATGTTTTGAGCTCATCAATCGATTTATCATCACTTGAAACCTATGTTTTTTAAAAAATATTTCCAACACTCACACCAATTAGCCTAGCCCCAAAGTCAGCACTATAAGGCTTGTGTTATAGGATAGTAGGGTAACGGATAGAATACTTAAACGGTACATATATAAGTATATTTTTTTTTATAGAAATACATATTAAACATCCATGACTGGAGTACAAATGCTCGTATTCATCACACAAACATCTGCTCCCACCAGAATTTGAACCCGGGACCTCTGAAACCCGGCGTACAAACCACGCGGCCACGGAGGTCGTAATTTTTTTTAGCGGAAAAGTAGATATTTGCAGTTTTGAGAGATAACCTTAGATTAAAACAAATAGGGAAGATACGGCACTCGCTGCTCAAAAGTGATCCGCTTAAATTGTGGTGCATGACCACAATTCACTTTAGTCAGAATTGGACATTCAAAACACGCTGCATGTGCACTCTATATAACAATATTGCGTATATTCTGTGTTATAAATATAAAACAATTCCATCGATGCTTGTTTGAAGAATAACAATATTTCAAAATCAAATAAAAAAATCCTCTGCAACACTTTTCAATAGTAAAACTGTATAAAAACATATTTTTCTCAAAAATAACGGTTTGACGAGAATGTTATTTACGTAATCGTCATTTTGTTTTTAAGAAAAGGACAACAGAACAGCTCAGTCGTGCGGACTCGGTAGCGGACTCGCCGTTTCGCTCGCGCTGCGTTGAAGCGTACAGTTCTGTTTCGCTCGCTCGATTGAATGTTTATATACAGACGTGTGCGTGTGTGAGAGTTGCTTATGTAGTTGAGTCGGATCATATTTTATTTGATGCTAGTACGAGCGTACCGTATCTTCCCCTTTTGGTTTTATATAAGCAGATAACATCTTTGTCCACTCACCACTTCAATTCTGTAACTCAGAATTTACTTTTATTAACTTGCCTTGACAATGACTCGAAATATTCGATTCATTTTCGCTCTGCGTAAGTACGACCATATTTCTCATTATCGTTCCCAACTTCAATGGCTATCCATTTCTAGTAGGAGAGACTGTCACATCCTATCACTCCTTTATTCTATCCTCTTTCATCCACACATTCCTCTCTATCTTAAGGAGCGTTTCGCATTTCACTCTTTTAATCCTGTCCGTGATCTTCGGTCTTCTCATAACTTAGGGGCCGTTCATAAAATACGTCACGCTAAAATCAGCTTTTTCCGACCCCCTCCCCCCTATTGTCACGCTGTGTCACACTTTCTGTGACCCCTCTTGAAATATTCCGTCACAAAAACGGAGACCCCCCCCCCCCCTCCCCAAGTATGATTAATTTAATTGATAGTACACAAATTTTAAGAATTTAAATATTTATTTAGTTTTTATTATAAAATTTTAAATATATAAATATGCGCTAATGTCGAAAAATAAACATGAGTAAATATATCAAGTTACAATTTATTGTATAATAAAACTATATACGTTTGAATGTCTATATGTTTACTAAATACGAAATAAATGATTTTCTATCTTGATGAAAATTGAGAAAGAAAAATAGTTGAAAGAAATACTAATTTAAAAATTTTTAATGAACGACGAACGTCACGTTGCCGTAGACCCCCCCCCCCGTCCCCCCTTGTCACATCTTGTCACACTTAGCAAGACCCTTCCCCCCCCCCCCCCCCCCTTGTATGCGAACGTATTTTATGAACGGCCCCTTATACTTAGTTATCCCACCCCACTCCACTGATTTCGTAGCCAAGTCATTTTATGTAAGAGCTGGAACGCTTTGCCTCCAAAGGCAAAGGCGAATATCCAAATATTAAACGTGCACAGACGAAGGACTCCTTTACCATTAAAATTCGCGCGTTCTATCGTCTGTACCACGGCGAGTGTTCTGAGGAGTTATTCTCTCTTATTCCACCTTCCCCTTTCCTTCAGAGGACCACGCGCGCTGGCTTACGTTGTCACCGTCTAACTGTGGCTACAATTCCAACGCGTACAAAGAAATTTGGTGACTCATTTCTTTGTCGTACTATCCGTAAATGGAATGCTCTGCCCGCTCACGTGTTCCCTCCCTCTTACAACCTGGGATCCTTTAAAAGAGGCGTGAAGAAGCAACTTGCAGGCCGGCAGGGTGAGGATGGCTGGTGTGGCAGTTAGAACTGCTGTATCAGCTATCTTCGCGTCTGGACTTCACCTTCACTTAACATCAGGTGGGGTGGAGTCATTTGTCGAATCTATCTATAAAAAAAAAAAAAAAAAAAATTAAGGAATATTTCCTCAAGCTGGACTCTGCCTGATCTTTTTTATCTGTTTATTGTATTTTATAGCTTCCTTACATACTTACTATATGGTATATTATTGTATTTATGTTTATTAATTTATTTTTACAATGCACTAGCCCGCTGTTTCCACTATTCTTATGGTATGGTTTCATTTAGCCAAAGGTTGCCTGGTAGAGATTGCTACCTTAGCAATAAGGCCGACTTTTGTGTTTTTGTTTCTGTGTTTTATGTTCTCTGTATTGTGTGTAATAGTGAAATAAAGAATATATTCATTCATTCATATTGTTACTTGAAATTCTACTAAAATAAGTAGATATTAATACTTTCAATGACAAAGCAGCTTTTTAAAAACAGCTTTTAGGGGCCTTGCTTGATTGGTAAATAGAATAATCATACAAACAAAAATAAGATACACACAAATGCGCACATACAAACATAGTACATACACACACACACACACAGATACGTACACACACAGACAAATACTCAAACAAACACAAGCATTCCACACATTTCGACTTAGTTTCTAAGCTTTTATGTTATGCCCAAATAATGAAAATCCGTAATTGGCAAAGATTGAATTATTGTAAAACCTACATTATATTAAGATAAGAAATCGCTGTGGATATTGTTATATTAAGAGTGCACGGAGCACACATCTAAAGTGAAACTTCTTTTCTTAAATAACCTAAAATTAGGCGGTGCATAAGGCATAGGGGAATGGAGCAGCGCACGCATGACTCATATATATATGTATATATATATATATATATATATTGTCGCGTGTGATGCTCGTAGCATTTCAGCCTTCGCAGAGTTACTCTCGAACTTTCATGCTCATCGCGAAGAGCTGCGCACGCATCCCACACACACACACACACGCACGCACGCACGCACGCACGCATGCACGCACACACATACACATTCACACACACATTTATATATATAGTCACGTGACGCATTTACGTTTCATCTTTTCCATAGGATTTTTCCATTTACAATCTGCCGAAAAGAAGTTCCACTTTAATAAATCAATAATGTTTCTTTATTTAAGGATTATGTCATTGTATGTATTTATTGTGTGTATATATACACACATATATATATCAGCTTGTGTATGTATGTATGTGTGTATGCGCAATAAAATATTAATAGATAAGCATAAATGTATTGCTTTGTTGCTTGTTAGCGCCTAACACGTCCTCACACAGGCCCTGCCAGAATACCAGCGCTGATACAGTGAGAGATATTCTCCCACTGTGTCAGCATAAGCTGAGGCAGGGTCCTGATTGGCCGTCTTAGTTTTATGTTGTTATTTTTTGTTTTTAGGTTAAGTTCCTTTTTTATTTTTTGTTTATAGTCATAGTATTTGTATTATGTAAGATGGCCAATAAAGGTTTTCTCATTTCATTTTCATTTCAATGTTTGTATTCATGGTACACCAGATACATGAGCGTCGTCACACTGGTGAGAGGCCATACGTTTGCGATCACTGCGGCGCCACGTTCCATCGTCGATCGAATCTAGTCCAACACATCGCTATACACAACCCGGATAAGAACTTCCAGGTCAGTACTGCTTACACTGCTGGCCATTGGCGTATCGTGTCAGTTCCTTAAGTTAATAGAATAAATTAAAAAATAAAATATTACTACAAAAAAAAAACCACGCGGACCAGGCAGCAGACGGGACTCGACGGGACGGGATAGCGAAGGGTGCGGGTTCGAGTCCCGTCTGCTGCCTGCTCCGCGTGGTTTTTTTTGTAATAATATTTTTTTTAGATTTAAACATCGAGCAGTTACATGCTTAAAAGAAAAATAAAAATTATAACTAGAATTGCTATTTCTTCTTTCAAATGTTTAATACTTGTAAAAGTATTCATTTGAAATTGTGGTGCGGGTTTTGAGTCCCGTCTGCTGCCTGCTCCGCGTGGATTTTTTTCTAATAATATTTATTTTAGATTTAAACATCGAGCAGTTACATGCTTTAAAAATAAAATATAAGAATAAAAAAATAGGACTCACAGGCCGTTTCGATCTAGTCCAACATTTCGCTATACACAACCCGGATAAGAACTTTCAGGTCAGTACTGCTTACACTGCTGGCCACTGGCGAATCGTGTCAGTTAATAGAAATTAAAAATCTCTTCGGCGGTGTCGTGTGAGGCGGGTCGTTACGTTTATGCGTCATGCTCATGTCATCGGAGATGAGTCTGCTCTTGCTGCATTGGGTACTATTAATCGTTGTACTTAACTTTAATCGTACATTTTTTTAATGCCTAAACAGTAGGTCACGACATATTGTTTTAAACTTTCATGGTCACTAACATTATAGCTAATAACTTTATTGTTACCATGTACCTTGTTTTTACCTTACCATCAAAAAAGTGTCGTTTCGCGATCTGATACTGTGAGTATTGTGTGTCGGGAACAAGTGCGAGTGAATAGTGAGAATGTGACCAGTGGTATCGAACGCAATAAAAGACGACGTCAGAGGGTAGACCGATATGTCTGCCAATAACATCTACCCGCAATTACTTCAGTTACTCCGTGATCATGGCGCTTGCAACAGTGCCGAAATATCGGAGACTCATAAAAACAAGGTACATGGTAACAATCCCGTTAATAGCTATAAAGTAGGTCACGACATTTCTAAACTCTGTTACATCAGTTTTATTCTATTTTTTAATTTTATACTTAGTCATAATTTTTATATCGTTTATGCACTGACCATTATGCTACTGTGGACTTGATAACCCTGTCGATTTTTCTCTAGTATTTCATAGGCTGCAAGGCAGCGCCGTTTCTTCGCATTGTAAAAGGACATGGCTAAGAAAATGCCTTTAACGTGTATAAATATTTCGCACTAGCCCGTAACTTTACAATTTTTTTTTTATTAATTATTACGTGTTTATTATTCTCATACAACTTTCGTGAAATATTCAAATATTTAGAAGTATAAAAATTGACTTAATTTCTGATTCAAAAGCAAAATGTTCCGTTTTACAAAATAAATGAAGAATAAATGTACACAAATAATATTTATGTAAGTATATCGAAATAAACAATATTTTTCTAAACTCCTTCAAACTAGAAGGCTTACTTGGCCTTATTTTTTATTATCACAAATCACTGAAGACCTCAAATAATAGATTTTATTATTCTGGTCAGGCTTAAGACAAGGCTGTATGATAATTAATCCTTTAATTTTTGCAAATTGACAAAATAAAACTTCACAGATTTCCTGTCAGGCCGACGATAACAAATTATTTGTATTTATTTTTGCTTTAAAAACTTTTTGTGAAGAGTTAATCAGAGAAATGGGAATAAAGAAATTGATGACTCTGTAAATAATTGTCAACATCTTTTATCAACTGTAGTAAGGTAATGACATAGTAGGAGTTCTCATAATTTTCTAGATTGTGACTTTATCAAAAGTTCTTGACCTTTTTTCATAGAAATTATAAAGACTTAGTCATTTACCATTAACTATTACTAAGTACAGTATTTATACATTGCCAGGGCAGTCGCTCATACAAAACTTTACCATGTCCTTTGATTAATATAATGGGTTCCCAAGCTGGTGGTGTATACCAACCATCTTCCCTATTGAAATTTTTGAGATTTCACCAAACACATAATCGTCATACAACAGATAAAATCCTAACCCCGAGCACACACTGCAAGACCAATAGATACTATTAGTTCTTTTTGTTTGCATGATTTAACATAAGAGGGAGATGGAAAGCCTCTCTGGGTTATTTCGCCGTTTCTTCTTAGAAAGGTCTCCTAATTTTGGAACCGGTGGTAGTTTACGGTAGTTAGGGTCAAATAATTAAACTCAAATTACAAAAAAGAATTTGAAATAAAGTACTTTATTAACTAAATTAGCCAATAAATTCAAGCATAGACAATAAAGTTTTAATAATCTTCCAATGAAATATCCGAACGCTTAATAAAAGTCTTCCGCAGGTAGCTCGACAAAGTAAATAAAAAATCAATATATCTCAAGACGCAGTCCTGCAAAGGCTGCGAAAAGTCAGATAAATAAATTCAGTGCATCTAACCCCTGGGTTCCGAACCTGGGGGTAATTACCCCTCCGGGGGTAAATCAGCCATACTTCGGGGGTAACAAAGAACCTATTAATTGGTCAAACCTAAATAATAAGAAATACTATATAATAATAATACTGAATAGAGCATGCGCTCCTTCTTGCTAGCGAGCCCGCGGGGTGCTGAGTGTGGGAAGCGGGGCGAGATTTTCTCCTGACGATGACATTATTAGAGTCGAAGATGTAGCGGCCAAATTTGAATTTCTTGGACTGATGATATCTTTTTAAGGTCGGGGTAAAATCTGTTTTTCTAAAAGGTTACAGGAGTGGCAGTATCGTAAAAGGTTAGGAAACACTGATCTAACCTGTAAAAGTTGTTTTATTGTATACTAGCTGACCCAGCGAACTTCGTACCGCCCTAACAAAATAGGGGTTGTCCAGCGGACAAAATTGTGAATCTAAACCATTCTCAGATCCCCTTGAACACACACAAAAAATTTCATCAAAATCGGTCCAGTCGTTTAAGAGAAGTTCAGTGACATACACACTCACAGAAGAATTATATATATAAAGATATTAATTAAGATTTATTTGTCCCTCTTCCAGTGCGACTTATGTCCGAAACGGTTGAAGTCGCGCAAGTTTCTCCAAATACACAAGCACAACGCCCACACGGGCCGCAAGTACGGCTACCTGTGCCCCGTCTGCGACCACCGCTTCGAGAAACCGAACAAGGTGCGCGCCCACACCAGGCGGGTGCACGGCATGCAGGACCACGAGCACCCGCCCATAGTGAGGGTCTTGTTGTAGAATAGTGCAAAATAAAAGAAAAGATAAAAAGGGACTTTTTTGTGATATCACGGGATTCCGGGACTTTTTAGTGGAATTCCGGGATTCGGGACTTTTTGGTGAAACGACAGGATTCCGGGATTTTTTGAGAAATCATTTGATTCCGGGACTTTTGTATAAATCACGGGATTCCGGGACTTTTTCGTGGTATTCCGAAATTCCGGGACTTTTTGGTGAAATGACAGGATTCCGGGACTTTTTTTGTTAAATTATATGATTCCGGGACTTTTTGTATAAACACGGGATTCCTGGACTTTTTGGTGAAATTCCGGGATTTCGCAACTTTTTGTAGAAATAATGAGATTCCGGGACTCTGGTAAAGTTTCGGATTTTTTTTATCCCGGATACGGATATTTATACGTACGTAGAAATCCCAGGAGTTGTAGCGCTACCGGGATTTGCCAGTGAATAGTCCCAAAATTCCGGGCTTTGCTTGTTAAGTGTTCCGGTAGTGTTAATTTAAGTCGAACAAGGTGCGCGCCCACACCAGGCGGGTGCACGGCATGCAGGACCACGAGCACCCGCCCATAGTGAGGGTCTTGTTGTAGAATTGTTCAAAATAAAAGCAAAGAATGAAAGGGACTTTTTGTGAAATCTCGGGATTCCGGGACTTTTTCGTGGTATTCCGGGACTTTTTGGTGAAATCCGGGATTTCGGTACTTGATGATATTCCGGGACATTTCATAGAAATCACGGGATTTCAGGACTTTATGGTGAAATTCCGGGACTTTTTGGTGAAATCCGGGATTTCGGTACTTCATGATATTCCGGGACATTTTATAGAAATCACGGGATTTCGGGACTTTATGGTGAAATTCCGGGACTTTTTGGTGAAATCCGGGATTTCGGTACTTGATAATATTCCGGGACATTTTATAGAAATCACGGGATTCCGGGACTTTTAGTATAAATCGCGGGATTCCTGGACTTTTTAGTGAAATGCTGGGAGTTTTTTAAATCCCGAATACGAGTATTATCGTAGAAATCCTAGGAATTTGCGCGCCACCGGGATTTGCCACTGAATAGTCCGAAGATTCCGGGATTTCCTTGTTAAGAGACCGGTAGTGTTAATTAAAGTCAAAAATGGTGAAGTGGAGTGCAAGGCATTCAGGAGCACGAGGACCTTGTTGTAAGTCTGAACAAATATTGGAAAAAATGGACTTGAAAAAATACCGGTAATCCGGGACTTTTCGTAAAAATTCCGGGGTTACGGGACATTTTGTGAAATCCCGGGACTTTGGGACTGTTTCTGGGAGTCCCGGGATTCTGAGACCTTTTTGTGAGAATTGCATGATTTCGTAACGTTTTCGGTGAATCTCGGGGTAAACGGGATTTAGCTGCGAACAGTCCCTGGGATGTTCAGCTAATGATGAACTAATATTGCTAAATATCTATTCAAAAGAATAGGGTATTTGACAAGTTTTAGAAAACGATCTCACGTTATTGACTAATGTTTATGGAGTCCGTGAAAAGTGGATATTCATTATTCTGTTGTGTATTTCAGTAAAAAATACCAAATCAAAAACTCCATTTTCAAGTTGCCGCGAATACGTTTTTCTGGACAATATGGCGTCTTACTAGTGTGTGACGTTACACGACTGTTATTAAAACGTCAAACGATACAATGTAATGTCACTTTAACCCGAAGTTTACTTGCGTGTGACGTCATTTAAGGCTCCGCCAATCAAAAGCGTTTTGGGTCACGTGTCAATAGATAAGAAAACTATTATCGTTTTCGTGGGTTTTTAGTAAAATTATGAATATTTTTTTTGTAAAAATAGTAAAAATCCCTGCCAATATACATTCTATGCTAAAAAAAAACAATATTATACTTTCCATTTTAGCCATAGGTAACCTAACTCTATGAGATGTCTGACTGATGCAAAAATGAGATAGATTTGACTAATGAGCCTGCTAAAAGTTACTGAGATCCATGAACTATTAAAATAGTAATGGAAAATGCATCTATGTACCGAGAATGAACATTCTAGCATAAACATAGAAAGAGTACCTTTCTACTAGATTAGCTTTTCTGCCTTGCTTCTCCTTTTCAACTCTGTTTCTCAGCTGTATTACAGACCATGTTGAATACATTTTCACCACTTATTTAATATTTTTGACAACAAAAAAACACGTTTAAAATATGACAGCTGCAATATTCGGCTCTGGTAAGGGTCAAGCGTTTGCAGCGCCATCTATGTCAAGCTTTGCGTATACTTCTCCATTGGCACTTTATTTATAATACTGTCAAATACCCTATTGCAATATACGGCAGCTGGGGTATAATAAATTTGTGGTTCCGGTTGTCATCCTCTGAATATGGAACACGGGCGGAACCCTAATGAAATATTACGCTTATTAAGTTTATTTTAATAATAATAATAAATATTGTCAATACACACCAATTAGCCTAGCCCCAAAGTAAGCACTGTAGGCTTGTGTTATGGGATATAATGCGATTCAAATAAGAATAGGAAAGCCAATGACCTCTATCTGTCAAATGTCGCTTGAAAAGTACGGTTTGCAAAAAAAAAAACTTAGAACCCTTTTTTAGCATTCTGCTAATTCTAGAATAAAAACCAAACATTTGTAAACAAACAATAACAAATATTGATAATTAATATCGGTTGATATATTTCTTTCACTTATTGAGCTTTGGTCATGAATGGTTGATAACCTAAATCGTCAACCAAATGGCACTAAGTTGCGTTCAGAAACTTGATTTCAAACTTTCGTTTACATAAAGGATGCATGTTCGTATGTGACATAGTAATAGTGCATGATTATTCATTACTAATCCGGCGGTAATGCAGAGATGAGCAAAATAGAAGAGCTAGATTCTGATTAATGTTTTGTCTCACAGTTTTAACAAATAAATATTATTAAAAATCGGTGTTTTTTTTTTCTTAACCTTAGTAAATAAATGTTATTAAAAAAATTATGCTTTTTCTCACTTAATCTTAGTAAATAAGTTTTGTTAAATAAAAACTTTTTTTGCTTACTCTACATATTTGGTTTGAATTGACAGCTATGATATCACAATATGGCGCCCAGTCAGTCCTATTCTTAGTTGAATCGCATTATACTAGGGTAACGGATAGAATACTTATAGGTACTGATACAAATATTTAAGTTATATTTATATAGAAATACATACTAAACATCCATTTTATATTTTGTTAATTTAGTATTGTATTATTGACAATCATAATAGTATAAGCTAACTATGTATGAAAATAGAATTAAGTAAGTCAATGGATTTTAGCTTTAAAAATGTTTTCACATTAAGTTAAAAATCATGCTAGCACTTCACATGGTTATTCGTGTCATTAATTTTTTTAAGCTTTAAAATCTAAAGAGAGTTTTACTAGAAAGTAAAAACGAATGTGCTTATGACCACACGACTGAAGTGAAACTTCTTTAGCTCCATATGTATGTATATACAATATATACATGTGTGTACATATATACATATTTCATTTACTAGCTATAAGAGAAAGAGAGAAAGAAAATGTGCGCGCGCACCGCTTTCTCTTGCTTATATACCCCACTCAACTCCCGTTCGCCTCGCCCGAACACACTTTTCGTAACGCGTAACGCATTCGCCAGCTTGCCCCCCAAGTCAAGCGTGCCTAAAGAAGTTTCACTTCGAAAAAACACGCGGTCCATGCAGCAGACGGTACTCGAACCCGTACCGCATAATAAACTTGACATTGTGGGTTACTTACAATGCGGAGAGATGGCGCTACCTTGCAGCCTAGCAGATACGGATAGCGGAGGGTGCGGTTTTGAGTTCCGTCTGTTGCCGGAATAAAAATGAAAAGACTGCTATCAAAATCACAAATATACGGCTTATATAATATGTATTATCAAGGTATAATACGTGTATTTATGTTAACAAATTTTATACAATGTCTTATTATTTTGTTCACACTACGTATACATGTATAAAACCTGTAGTATACAATACAGTGCGATTCAACTAAGAATAGGACCGACTGGGCGCCATATTGTGACGTCATAGCCGTCAATTAAAAGCAGTTAGGTAGAGTGAGCAAAAAAGTTTTTCTTTGATAAAACTTATTTACCAAGATTAAGTGAGAAAAATATCTGATTTTTAATAATATTTATGTATTTATTAAGACTGAGTGAGATAAAAATATTAATCAGAATCTAGCTATTTAATTTCGCTCATTTCTGCACTACCGTCGGAGTAGTCATCATTGTCATTGCTGATTTCGGCTATATAATAAAATATCGATTTGGTAGGTTTTAAAACGACAACTTTATTTAAAATAAAAACAGTCTTTTTATTACCTGTATTTACAATCAAACTAAAGTACTTATATTTCCCTTTTCCAGTACTCATTTTCTATACGTTTCATATGATTTATTTCTTTCTTTTGTTTATAAATGTTTGGTATTTATTCTAAGATTACCTCAGTGCTAAAACAAAAACCGACGGGTTGCACTCCGGGAGTGCCGGCAGAAGTGAAAACTTGAATAATATTAACGTTGTGCATTTTTGATATTTGGAATGGTTAGGGAATAATTTTGAACGAATTGCTTTAATTATCAGTATAAAATTACTATCATGTATGTGGTAGAATACAATATTTATTTATTGCGCTATCGGACACAAACATGACATTTATATTACATTAAAAAAGTTTATCTCTCAGAAAAATAAACTTACGTGAATCACGTTTAAGCGCACTTAGCGACATCTATTGTAAAGAAATCAACTTATATGAATCACATTTAAAAGCACCTAGCGACATCTATTGTAAAAAATGCATTTTCTTCTCTATAAAGCTGCCACGTGGACGTCCTAGATAGAGACTTATTATAATAATACGGTAAAATAAAATATTACTATGTTTCGTCCAATATATTGAAATACAACAACCTTTCCAATTTTATTGTGTGTCATGATGCGATCAGCCCACGTGTTTAACCTGACGCGAGTTTAATATTTTTTACCCATACAAAAAAAAGTGTACAACGCCGCTAAAGAAGTTTTCACTTCAAAAAGTGTTTCAAGTTTCTTTTGCAAACCGTACCTTTTAAGCGACATTTGACAGGTGGAGGTCATTGGCCTCCCAATTCTAATTTGAATCTCATAGTACCTGCATTTGTTGGATAAACAAAAAACATGATGTAAATAAGTGATTCATACTAGTAGTCTATGCTGTGTCAACGAAAGAATGTTTTAAACATCCATCAACAAGTATTCTAATAGTTTTGTTTAAAATACTTGTAATACTTTCTAAGGTCAGGCGATATTTTACATCTGAGCAGCTCCTTAACCTTTACCGAGCCCAAGTTCGCTCCTGCTTGGAGTACTGTTGTCACCTTTGGGACGGATCTGCTCGGTATCAGCTGGATGCACTGGACTCGGTGGAACACCGTGCGAAGCTTAGATTAAAACAAAAAGGGTAGATACGGCACTAGCCTCACAAAAGTGATCCGCACAAATTGTGGTCCACGACCCTAATCGCTTTAGTCACAACTTGACATGCAAACAACGTACATGTGAACGCCAAAAAGAAATATAACTAATATTTTGTGTTTATATGATAAAACAATGCCTAAGTGTGTTTTTAAAAAGTGCTCAAATTGCTCAAGAACTAAAAATAAAACCGACGGCATCACTTTTCATTCGTAAGTACTATAAAATATATTTTTTCATAAAAATTGCTGTTTGTTTTGAATCTTAAGCGGTAGTAACGTCGAGTACTGGCCGCGTGATTGGTCGGTAATGCAGTGACGCGGATCTCGCCGTCTCGTTCGCGCTGCCGTGGTATCAGTTTTTGTTTGATGCAAGTATGAGCGTACCGTATCTACCCTTTTGACGTGACAACGTCTTAAATTAGGTTGCGGCTGGGAGTCACTTATGAAAAAGTGTAACGCTCGGTAACGTTACGATGAGTCTCTCGTGTTAAGTTTAAGTTTACATGTACAATGTTTTAGTAAACAAAATATATTTCTATAGTTAAAATTTGTGCAATTCTTATTTTCATTCAATTCCTTGTTCCTATTGTGCAATTTAATTATATTCATATCAATAAATATTCTACCGAGAAAAAGACGTTGTCACGTAAAATCTTCGCCCGTAAAACCGACTTTACAGGCAACCATTTTTTGTTTTAATCTAAGGTGCGAAGACTCATAGGCAATGACGCTCTCGTTGAGGCTAATCTGTAGAGCCTTGACCACCGAAGACGTGTAGCTTGCCTCTCGGTGTTTTATCAGTTACATTTCGGAGAGTGTGCATAATTTATTACATCATTTGATCCCCCCTTCCCCTTTCCACCACCGGACGACCAGGCGCGGCGAGGGCTTCCGCCCTTATGTTGTCGAAGTTCCTCCCATTCGCACGAAGCGATTTGCTTCGGCCTTCATTATGCGAACGGCTAGGGAGTGGAACTCCTTGCCGAGGTCTGTTTTCCCGGACCAATATAATCTGGACATCTTCAAGGCCAGAGTGAACAGGCATCTTCTAGGCAGGCGTGTACCATCCTAGGCCCCATAATAGCTTTGCCATCAGGTGAGATTGTGGTCAACGCATTGCCTATTATGCTTAAAAAAAAAACTTTTTTCTTGGTGGAAACGAAGGATTTGAACAAAGGGCCTTGACTGCAGATGCAGCCGGGATTAACGGCTTTTAACGTGCCTTCAGAAGCACGGCAGGGCGTGAGAGATTCTGTAACTGTACCGAAATATCGGGGACTTGCTAAAACAATGTACATGGTAGCAAGCTAATAAGAAAAGTTACTGTATGTAGCTGACATTTAATTACCATTATTTTAATGTAATATTGTACGCCCGAAATGGGCAAACTGCACTACCAAAATAGGCTAGTTGACATTTTTTGGATATATGTTTTAAATGGTCAATAATTGTTCAATTAGACCGAAAAAAAATGTATTGAATTTTTTTTTTACCTAGAAAGCTACAAAACTTTAATTTGAAAGTAGTTTTTTCATGGACATACAAAAACGCTGTCAGCTATTTTAGTCTATAGATTATCTATGGTATGACGGGAACAAAATAGTAAACAAACACTCACAAGCACGTAGGATATAACCTATCTGAATTTACATTACAAAACCATGATTTCTAATAGATTTCATGATAAATATAGTAATTATCATGATTGTATTATACGAGAATAAAGAAACACGTCGTTAAAGACTCCTGAAATGTTGTGGCTTAAATTTTTAAGGTTATGAATGTACCTGCTAAGTCAAAGAGTTTTGTCGTTTCTGCTTTCACAAATCCGGCGTCCATCATTTATTTAGTCAACAAAACCAATAAACGGAAACTTTTCTTCAAGTTATAAGAAGTTTTAGATATATTTTAGTCCGACGAAAGAAACCACAGTAATATGACAATGACGTTTAGTTGACGTCACAATCATGGTGGACAGCGTTTTTATTGTTTAAAAAGCATAGACTAAAAAACTATTTTTCAAATTAAATTACTACAGCCATATTCTAATTTTATAAAATGAAATCGATGTATTTAGGTTCCTCATACCAAAAATTATAAGAAATAAACATTTGTATAGAGCAATTTGACATGAGTCAACTACCCTATTTTAAGAACCGTTCTGGACAATAAATGATTATCATAACTTATCTGTAACTGTTTGTTATGCTGACTTTACCTATGTAGGTAATATAAAACTCACAGACATATAATACTATAGCAGACGGAACATAAAACCTAGTTATATTTATGAATCAAAACATGATCTTTTATCCTTTTTGTACTCAGCTACAACTCGATAGTGGCATCTCATTCTTTCATCTATTGCAATACTGACTCACACATCAACAAATGTCGACGCGTGTCATTTTTATTCCTCGTCGCTAGGGACACGATATCGAATAGAAAGTATCGATACTGTACTCATGAGTAGTATCGGTAAAAAAGTATCGTACTCGTAAAAGTATCGAAACAAAAGTATCGATACTTCAAAGTATCGAGTACATTTCATAGGGCCTTATCGGAGCCTCTGTGGCCTGATGATGATGAGCAACCCCCCCCCCCCCCCTTATTTATTTATTAATTAAAATGTTAATTTTAATTATGAATGTAATTAACTTTTCAGATTTGTTTCAAATTAAACTTACTTTTCTTGAATAGGGAAGATGCATACATAATATTTATGAAAATTTTATGATTAAAATGTTAAAAAAATATAAAAGAAATGCCACTGCAACGTTTTTATTTTACATAATGTTGTTTTTTAACAATTATTACGAATTAAAAATACTTGAAACGGAACGTATTTTAAAACACCAATCAGCGTTTAGTGACGTCACTCCTGTTATGACAACTTCTTTGAGGTTATGGTTGTTAAAGTAAATATTATTTTATGGGAATATTTAATGCGTTTTTTTACATTTAATAAAAATGGAAGTTGCGTTTATCAAAGCAGACTCCAGGAATTTACCAAGAGTTAGCGTTGACATGGTTATAACTTTTTTTGTCCAAAGTGCAGAGTTTTTAAGTGTAGAAATGAAAGGGACTAAATTACTACGGTATGTAAAAATCGTAGTTGTTAAACTTCGTATTTTATTCAGCGGCTTCTACAAATCTTACGGCGATAATGCAATCGGCTATGTCCAAATTAAAAGAGATGGAGAATTATGTACAGTAAAAGGTCGAGTTCTCCGGAGCATAAAGTACATAAAGAAGGTTATCGTGTTACAGTTATTTTAAATGAAACGCAAAGCTAGGTTCAGTCCTGCCAATGTGAAGATTGTGCCTCACATTTTAAACTTTATCTAATTTTCGACGTCATTCTCCAACTGTAAAATTAAAAATATATTAAAGACAGGTTTTGTAAGTATTAGGTAGGTTACTAATGCGTTTTCACGTACAAGCAGATTAATTAAGCATATAACAAGTATATTCGCCGACTTACGTCAAAGTGATCTTCTCAGCATCGAATAATGGTCTTTGGAGAATAATTGTCATTTCTCTTCGCAGCTTGAAACCACTTTTTTTTCAGTTTTGGGTCAGAAGTTTCAGTTAAAAACAATTTATTTGGGAACTTTGTTGAAGTAGATTGGCACAGAACATGAGTCAACACGGCTTTTTTTTCGGAATATTAGTGGTATTGTTATGATCACATGATGTTGATGGATAGTCCATTTTAAATTTTTCTAAAAAATATTTCGAAACTCGAAAAAATATGCAAAAGTTTGAAAATTTAAAGCCAGCAAAGAACAAGTACGACCAGTAACAGACAGGAGTGACGTCATCGCAACCATAGGTTCGTTTTCGCGCGAAAATTTAAATTGTCAATTTAAAACCGCATTTTTTCCGATAAATCACAATGTTTTAATTTTTTAATATATCTGTGGTTTATTCTGTATGGAATTCTTTAAAATGAAAACAAAAATAAAAATATTGCATCTTCCCTATTTTAATCATTAAAAAACATTATACCCGCTTATGTTAACTTCAATCTGACACGCAGTTAACGACTGGCATGCTTCACTCAAGATTATAATTATAGAAGAGGTTACGTCCGTTTTTTTTTCAGGTGGTTTGAAATAGGTATACATAGTACAGACAGAATAATAATGTTACACTTGAATAAATCGAATACAGTCAAGCGAAAAGCACAATAAACGGAGAATCAATCACAGTTCCTAACAATATGGTCGCTAAATAAATAACTATGAAACAAAACAAAGCGCAAAATAAACACAGTCACAGATTGGAAAGAATTTGAATTGAGTCAGTTACTGACTTTATAACAACGCAATAGGGCATTTGACAGTATTAAAAATAAAGTGCCAAAATAACGAAAAAGATATAAGTTTTCTTATCTATTGTCACGTAACCCAAAACGCTTGGGATTGGCGGAGCCTAAAAAAATGACGTCACACGTAAGTAAACTTCCGGTCAAAGTGACATTACATTGTATCGTTTGACGTTTTAATAAGTCGTGTGACGTCACACACTAGTAAGACGCCATATTGTCCAGAGAAACGTTTTCGCGGCAACTTGAAAATGGAGTTTTTGATTTGGTTATTTTTACTAAAATACACAACAGAGTGATGAATATCCACTTTTTATGGACTCCATAAACATTAGTCATTAAAGTGAGATCGTTTTCTAAAACTTGTCAAATACCCTATGGAACGTTTTAGAAGGTTTTGCTATGATTTAACAAGATGGGGTTGCCATCAATATGACGCGCTTATCCAAAATTTTAAAGGTATCGATACTTGCCAAAAAGTACTCATTTAGTAAAAGTATCGAATACAAAGTATCGAGTACAAAAGTATCGGTATCGAAAGGAAAAGAACTCGATACCACAAAGTATCGATACTTTTTTCGTGTCCCTACTCGTCGCCATTTTATTCATGACTTATCGGACATGCGACTTTTCGGTGTTTATTAAGAATATTGCTTTGATGAAACTATATTACAAAACGAGATTATTCAATTACTATGGTCAAGTACAGTGCGTATCGATGTGAAAGTGCTACCTACAATAGAACACCAGGATTAACGTTTAATCAGTAAGTTTTTATGTGTCTTTGTTGTGTACTGAAATGTCTTTGAGTCTTTTTGAAGCTTATTTAAATATTATCGTAACATGTAACATTTTTTACGTAGGATTATTTATCAAAGATACTACCGGTGAAAAGTAATATCTTAAAAGTAAAGAAATAGAAGTAATCAGGTTATATCATGATAGGAAATTCCAATTCTGACAACTGAAGTACTATTGCCATAACAGAGGACGGACTCGGTATCAAAGACAAAAAGTTTCTCGGCATTAATTTTGTTTGCATTACATTGTATTATGAATGTGAATGCAATCAAGAACGTAAATAGATAGGCACCTATTACAGACTAGCTATTCATATTTCTTGGAACATTGGCATCGGTAGGTATATAACCCAAATAACCACATAAACAATTTTGTTCTAGGTTTCCAAAGGATAAAAGTACTCGGAATGCATGGTTAAAATCTATGAATCGTCAGGATTGGCAACCAAATACTTATAGTGTTTTAAGTGTTTTTTGTTTTAAAATAAACAAAATTAATGATTTTAATAGTTTGATTAAATTCATATGTGATTATGTCGATTATTCAATATTTGACTCGAACAATCCAGATCATGATATAAACCATGTCCACTTGCTTATTAAAGTTGTTAAAATTTTATTTTGATCTTAGATGTAAACATCAATGTTAAGAAACAAATGTATCTCAGAGAAATTTCTAAAAAAACTTGCATTATTTCAAAATAAATAGATAAAAACTATGCCTCAATTTTTTATTTCAATTTTCCTAATTGTACCTATGTCCTTTCCCTGGGTTAATTCTATCTCCGTGCTCAATTTCATCATTATCGGTTCAGCGATTTCGCCTGGCTAAATTCGCCATGAAGATATTAAACAGACAGATTTTAACATTTATAATATTATTAGCATGGACATCACATTAGGACCTATCTATTCGGATAGGTATTTCATGAAACAATAATGAAATCCATTATTCTACTATACTAAATGCGGCCCATGCTTTGGTAGAGTTTCAATGTGTGTATTTGCCACGCTGTTTAAAACTGAATATTCCGTCTGCTTCTAGTTATATGTCTGTGATAAAACTGTAACTACTGTTTTCACGATAAATCATTTGTGTTTCTCTGCGTTTATTTTATAATAATTATTGTGATAGATAAATGTACAGACACCTACAATTTATTTGTTAAAAATTATATCCGATTTGAAAAAAAAAGAAATAAATATTTGCCATTCTAAAAGGTATTTTTCGGTTACGCGTAACGTTTTTTGGTTACGCGCCATCTTTTTTTTAAAAGAGCACTATTTACCTCATCCGAACAACTGCTTCTTCTGTCAACTTTAAAAAAACAAAGTATCGACAGCAAATATTCGTGTTTCACATAAGGTAAGGTAAGGTGTAGTTATACCCCTTTAGTGGGTGAGTTTTTGAAAAATCTTAGCGCACGCCTATATATATATTTCTGGAAAGTTGCATGTAGATCATTTTTCGAAAAAAATAAGGCCATAAAGAAGTTTCACTTCTAATGTGTGTACACTAGTACACGCACACATTTTTTTGTTATGGTATAATAACACAGGCCTACAAAAAGACCCTGCGCGAAAGACCAGACTATCTGAACTTTATGTTTTCGGGTCGTTGAGTCCAAATATGTTGCTAGAATAGCGAAGTTGCTTCGCGTTTATTAAGAACATAAATCATCTAGGCAGCGGACGGAACTCGAACCCGCACCCTTCGGAATCCGGGTCAATGCACTGACCAATTATGATACCGCGGCCCTGATGGTCGCGTCGAAATTTTCCTAGCTTTAAGCTGCAAGGCCGCGCCATCTCTTCGCATTGTAGGTAACCCACAATGTCAAATGAATACTTTTTCAAGTATTAAACATTTAAAAGAAGAAATAGCAATTACAGTTGTTTCTATTTTTTTAATTTAACTGCTAGATGTTTAAATCTAAAGAAAAGTTTTACTAGAAAAAAATCCACGCGGACCAGGCAGCGGACGGGACTCGAACCCGCACCCTTCGCAATCCGAGCGAATACACTGCGCACAATGCAAGAGATGGCGCTGCCTTGCAGCTTAAAGCTAGGAAAATTTCGACGCGGCCATCAGGGCCGCGGTAGCATAATTGGTCAGTGCATTCGCCCGGATTGCGAAAAGTGCGGGTTCGAGTCCTGTCTGCGCTGGACTCCTGGACGCTGCCTGGTCCACGTGGATTTTTTTCTAGTAAAACTTTTCTTTAGATATAAACATCTAGCAGTTAAATGCTTAAAAAATAAAAACGTAAACATAAACCATATATGAAAAACT